GAAAATGATTATACACTTTAATCTCATTTTAAATTTTTTAATTTTTTTTTAAAATTTTAATTAAACTAATTAGTTATCTTAATCTTAATTTATAATTATTTATATTATAGAATAATTATTTTCACTAATACATTCTTAATTATCTATTAATTACACTTCTCCTAAATACTGTATTTACGGTATAGCAGACACGGTACGTGAAACGAAAAGTAAAGAGTATATACTAAATATTAAAAATTGTGTCAGAAATTTTTATTGGGCAAATAAATTCATAATTGTAAAATACTTTTTTTTTTTACTTATTTTCCAGTCAAACATATTTTCATTTTTTTCTTTAAAAAAATATATATATATTTTTTATTATAAAAAAGCTTCTATTTTTATACACTTAATTTTACATTATTGAGAGAGTAAATAAATAACATGAAATGGGACCCACGTGGACAAATGATTGAACGCCGGGGCGGTGTTGACTTCTTCTTACCTCAACGCCACCGTGAAGGTCGTAGTAGTCTTCATCTGTTAGGTGCAAAAAGTCAAACCGTACTGGGGAGGCTGTCTCAACCCTAGAATTTAACGCCCAATCAGAATACGCCACGTGGCAGATCATGTGTGCATCAAATTTAAGGATCCATGCTAGTGTCCTCTTCTCCACGATACCGAGGTGTTTATTTTATTATTTTAATTGAATTATATATATTCTCTTTTATTAGAATAATAAAATACTTAGAACAATAATTGTATAATTTTATTTGCTCCTTAAATTTGTTAATGAAGGCGGTATTTATACCTGTAAAATTATTTTGAATTATTTATAATATTTATAAATACTAATTTTGTAAAAATAGTATTATATTAAATATCTATTTTATCTCAAAATATTATATGAAATATTTAATTTTTACATATTTAAAAAAAGTTTATATAAACAGAGTCTTAAGGTGGATTTGTTTCTTTTATTTAATTCCAAATAAACAATTCGTACTAGTATTATTTTAATCAACATAATTATCAATAAAATTACATTTTTTTTTCCATAAAATATACTATTTAAATAAAAACTTAAATACAAAATCTCACGCTCAAACTAAAACTCAATCTAATTATTATTATTATTATTATTATTGTGTGAAAGAAGAGTTGGAAGTCCAACTTATACAAAGTGCAATAATTGGGGAATGCGTTTATTAAATAAAGGGAAACAATGGATTTGTTCACTTAATTTTTGTAGATTATCAATTTTTCATAAATATTATTAAAAAAACTACTCCCTCGTCTTAATACAATAATCTTATTTATCATTTTTTTCTATTCCAAAATAATAATTTGGTTTCCATAAATAATCATATCATCATAAAACTACCCCTACCTTTTCATTTTTATTACACGATTGCCACTACTTTTTATACTAATACACTCGTAAAGGCAAAAAAGTCTTTTATCCATACTTTTTATCAATTACCAATATAATATCAATATTCTTTAAATCTCGCGTCCAACTCATTTAAGACTATATTTACGAGACATGAAGTATAATATATACATATATTAACTTAATATATAATATATATTTTAGCCACTTATTAAAGTTTCTTATTTAATACAAAACTCTCTGTCCCATAACAAAGTATCCATTTTTCTATTTTAGTCTGTCCTATAACAAAGTATCCATTTCATTTTTTTTAGTAATTGTACTGTCTACCTAACATTACAAATACTCTTACAAGTTATAATATATTAGACAAATGTCATTACCTTTATATCACACATACTAATAATGTTATTTTAGTCATTTCTACTTTATTTCTACTATATCCCAATATAATACTAATATTTCTAAAATTACGTGCAAAAAGCAAATGAATATTTCTTTATGGGACGGAGGGAGTATTATTGTTTATATTATCAACACAATTCTTATATCTAACATAAATATATATATATATACTCTATGCGTTTATGGATTCAAACATGAGACGTCTCTGAATCTTGTCTACTACCGCACATATTCATTTAGTGTGATTTGTCTTATTGGATTTAATTTGCATATTATTAAGTCCAGTCCGAAATTTATCCATAACTCACTCGAAAAATAGTAACAGCAAATTTTCCTATTATAAAAATAAATAAATAAATAAATTATTATTTAATATTATATCAAAGCTGAAAGTCTCATGTTTGAATCTCACCACTTCATTATCATTTAAATATAAGATTCGTATAGTCCAGTAAGACATGACCTAGTGGTGTAGGGGTTGAATTTGTAATCGTGAAGTCATGAATTTAAACCTCTGACATCTCAGGTAACCTGCCACACCTGATTTGCAGGATCTTAGATTCAGCCAAGAATTTTTTAAATAAAAGTCAATAATAACTGCCCATCTTTCACATTCAATAGATTATATTGCTATAAACTAAAATATTGTGTAACAAGAACTACAATATTAGAGAATACAAAATAAATATTTAATAGTATATATATTTGTTAAAAAAAAAAAAAAGAATTTTGTTGACCCAATCAAACTACTAGTCACCACAATAACTATGAACCAAATCTATATAAGAAAGCATGCATACGTGTCAGATTTTAGAATGTTTTAATTCCAAAATTTAAAATTTTTTAGTATAATCTTAAATATAAATATATATATATATACTTTAGATATAATATTCTAACTAGTTAGAAAAATCGATTTTAACGTTGAATAATAATACCTTGTTTAATTTGATTATTAATTAACTTATTATATAATATATATTTGTTCAAAATTAATTTGTATCTATTTTAAATATTTTAAAATACTTAAATAAGGTATATTAAATATAAATACTATTATTTTGTATTGAACAAATGTTATATAATATAAACAGATTTATTTATCTTAAAAAAATGTAAAAAATATATATATATATATTACAAATAATTTTTAGTCTACAAACTTTAATAAGAAATAGTTGAAATGTAAATTATTGAAAACATTATTAACTCTAAATTCTTACATCCGAAATTAAATTAAATTAAATATTGCCTCATCAACCAACAGCAGATTTAGTTGTGTGAGTGTTACATGCAATTATTAAATAAAAAGTCTACCCTAATTAATTAATATTAAATGTCATTTTCTATGAGAGATCGAATTTCTCCGAAACCTTAATTATTGTGTTGGTTAAGGAGTCAGTCAGTCGGATTTTTAGATTAATTAATTAATTAATTAAATGTGGTCACAATATATATATATATATATATATATATTGATATTAAAACCATAAAGTACGTTTGCATATTTCAACACTTAACTTTCAAAAATCAAAATCAAAATTAATTACCCTAATTATAGTACCTATATTTAGTTCTGTTTAAATAGTGATTTTTTTTATTATTATTTATTTCAATTTTTGAAAAATAAAATAATAAAAAGTTAAATTTTTATGTATCTTTTTTTTTTTTTAATAATTACTATAGAGAAAGTATCAATTTATTATTATTATTTTTTTTTTAAAAAAAAAGGACATCACACAATATATAATGAACTAGGTACATATATATAATACAATGTATATTATATATTTTATAATAAAATATTAATTACATTAAATTAATGTGTTAATTTGATCAAATCAAAACTTCCGAAAATAAATAAACTAAAAACAATTGAATATTATTATAATAAATCAAATATTCCCCCGTTTCGTGCAATATTATTCATTCGTATTTTATTTGTTTATTTATTTATTTTGGTCGGGCTCATATTAATGTAATTTTTTTTTTTTAATAACAATATGCGTATGGAATATATTGTAATTTTTTTTTTTATTGCTATATACTGTCATTTAAATTTATTACTCATTCCGTCCAATTTTTATTGTCCTAATATATATTTGTACGATTTTTTAGGTGATTGTCTTTTTGTTATGAATTGACAAATTTGCCATAAATTGTATGATAGAGATTAAAAGTAATAAATGAATAGAGGGTAAAAATGTAAAATTTATGTTTAAAAAATGAAATAGGACAATAGTTGTTGAACGTCCCATATAGAAAAGTAGGACATTAGTTTGTGGACGGAGGGAGTATTACTTTTCTTTTTTTATTGTCATTCAAATTTATTCTTTTTTTTTTTTTTGTAAACAAATACCATTTTTTATTTTTTCTTTACCTAAAAAGTAAAAATTTCTATTTTTACCTATTTCTGTTTGATCAAATGAGCACACAATTGTATGACATAGGAAGTATTATACTCCCTCCGTCCATAAAGTAATATCATATTTTTCTATTTGAGACGTCTAACCATTATTGTCCTATTTCTTTTGTTAAACACAAATTTTATATTTCTATTCTTCATTCATTTATTACTTTTAATCTCTACTATACAATTAAGGACAAATTTGTGAATTCACTACAAAAAGACAATCACCTAAAAAATATACTTTAGAACAATAGAAATTGAACGATGGAGTATTTTTTTTATGTGAATGCTTTCTGGACTGATTGACTATACCTTCTTTATTGGACTCTATTTTTAAAGCCCATTAAAGAAAGCCCATACTATAACAAATTTTTTTAGTATAGTTCAAAATATATATTGTTTAATAGTATTAATTAGTTATGAAATTATGTACTCTAAAATTATGTATAAATCATAATTATCCTATAAATATATTTAACACATATATGTTAAAATAAATTACTAAACATAATAATCAATTCAGGATCAATGCATCTATTTTTATCATTTAAATTATCTACAATCAATATATATTTAGTTCATGTTGATGTCTCTTGGTTGAAATATTACACTATTCACGTACTCCTGTATCCATCCGACTCTAAGGTTTTATTTGTGTCATTATATTTAAGATATCTTTATATTTGTATAATTTTTTGCACAAATATTACTATAATAGTATTGTTATACACTATTAGTATTTTGATCATTTTCTCTTAATTTGCACTACGTTTTCATATAATAATAAATATTCAAATATCAACACGCAGAAAGTATATAAAACTCCTAGAGTGGAACAAAAATAGTATAATATACACTACATATTACAATAAAACGCAGTACAAACATATATTAACACAATATATATATATATCTATAATAGAACAAATAACTTACAATTTATGTGGTGATGGTCTATATTAATACTCAAGCAAATGATCGGAATAGCTGTTCATACTGTATACCGTACCAAAATTTGTCTTAAAAACCTTCCGACCCAAAACATTCCGACAAAAACTTGCGAAGTTCATCGGCGACAACCTTCGGGTACTCTTCCTGCGGCAGGAGAGCGCCCGGCGCGTCGACGAATTTCGACACACCTTTTGCGTCCCTCAGGGCTTCCATTTCTGCTTTCGATCTTTTCGGCGCGCCCGAAGTCGACATCACAAGGACCGGGATTTTGCCGTCAATCCCAGCGAACAGCTCGACGAACTCCTCCCGGGAATTAACGGGATCAAGCAGTCCCGTCAGGAAAGCAGCTGGGGCGTAACGGGCGCCCTTCCGTTTCGTGAGATTGTATCTGCTCTCGACAATGCTGCGCGTCACGTTTGCGGGATCGGCGTAGACGTGGGACCTGTATTGCGATTCGATTGCCTTCTCGTTGCTGACGAGGGCGTTGTACATCATCCACCCCACTGCCGGCGCCCTCAGGGTTCCCCGGAGAATTCCGTACCTGCGAAATCGCTCGATGAGTAGGGTGACATAAGATCGGAGATTTTGAATTGAGTCGAGGTCTACCTGGTCTCCATACCGGAATCTCGACCGAAAACGATGGGGAGCGGACCAGCCCAGGTCGGTGCGACGGCGGCGATGGCCTTTGGTTTCAAAGACCCGGTTGTTGCAGCTCGAATCGCTAGGGTTGCGGCGTGCCCTCCTCCAAAGACGACAAACTCGTTATCTGCGGAACGATCGCCAATTAAAATTAAAATCTACGTCGTCGAGTTAACTATATTGTAACTAACATCCAAATAACGAAAAGCTACAACCTTTCGCGAATCTTAAATTGATTTTGATGTATTTAAAGTGCAAAACGACGCGATTAGCTAAGGAATCTACGATTATTACTAGCTAGCTACTTGTCAATAGATCTTCAAATTAATCACAAGATCAAGACTCTAACATTCATGCATTCGACACATTTGGCGAAACCGATAGCCCCTAAATCCTTATTGCCAAAAAAACAAGCATCAAAACACTACCATGAACTTCCCACACTAGGTCGAAGAATCAAAGTAGCAAAAGCCCTCAAACAGCAATTCGATTTTCGGCATACCCGAAACCCTAAACCCGAACACATATCCTATAAAATTATAAGCCCATAAGTTAAACAAACATCATAGCTACACAGTACAGTGCAAAGATCATATACCAATCTTAACTTTTCTATCCAACAACAAAAACAAATCAGCCAAACTAATACAATCTCCACATGTTCATAATCAAAATCAATCCCAATTCATGTAAAAACCAAAAGATTCAAAAATCAAGAAATCAGAATCAAGAACAGAATCACAAACCTGCAACGAATTCTGAGACAGGGCTATCGGGAGAGGACACAAAGTCGACCAGAAACCTCTCCATAACATCGGCATTGTAGTCGAGCTTGGGCCGGTCCGAGAACCCTAGACCGGGCCAATCCACAATCGTCGCGCTCCAATTGACCCCTCCGCCGTCCTTCCCGACGATCTCCTCCGCCACGACGCGCCACTCCTCGACGGTGCTGACGTCGGAGATCGTCGGAACCATCAGGATGTCCTTGCGCGGACCCACAACCTCGCCGCCCTTCTCCACCCTCTCAAAATGGATATTCACTGAATTTCCATCAAATTTCCATTTCCAGCTGCCGGAATCGGTACGGGTAAGGGGCGCCGATTTGGCCGGGGAAGAATACCCAACCGAGGCAGAAATTGTAGAAATTCGTTTCTTCGTTAAGCAAAAAGGTTGAGGGTGAAATGAACGGCCTGATTTGAAGGGAGCTGAGAAAGTGGACGGTGGGAGATGAAGAAACGCAGCGGACGCCATTGACGGAGAGTAGAGCTTCAATTAGGGCTGCGAGGTTTGACTGATTTAGGGTTACAGTGGAAGCAGGTGGGAAGATCGATCAAATCGTGGATCATTACCTGTCTTTGATTCCCGAAAACCTGAAACACACCAGAATTAAAAAAGAAATGTCAAGAGTGGGATTTGAACCCACGCCCTTTCGGACCAGTACCTGAAACTGGCGCCTTAGACCGCTCGGCCATCTTGACTTTGTTGAACAAAAGCTCCAACATAATTTATTAGTCCAATATTCAATCTTCTTAACTATTCGAACACCATAGATTACGACAGTGTAGACAAGGCAATGCCAGAACTGATCCTTAAGAACATCTTATTCATTCAGGCAATAAAAGGGAACTTTTTCCGGCGGCTTTGTAAGCCCGCCGATCAGCCATGTAGCTTCTCTGATCAAGCACGTCGCCCCATCTTCCAGCTTCGGCATACATATTCGACGAAGCTACAAAATCAGCAGACTCAGACTCAAACTCGCCGGAGGAGAAATCAAGCTCCGATAATCCGGTGACAAGATTCAATCCGCTGTCGACGCGGCCGTGCACCCTACAACCACTGACCAAGATTCGCCAAATCAGCGCATTCGGTGCCACCGGCATGTTCTTAACAAATCTCCGAGCCTCCTCGATTCTTCCGCCTCTCGCAAGCATGTCGACGATGCAACCGCAATGCTCGATCTGTGGCTCGATACGGTACACTTCCGACATAGTTTCGTACAATCTTATGCCTTCATCTATCAGACCGGCGTGATCGCAAGCCAATAGAACACCGACGAAGGTAACGGAATTGGGAGGAAGTTTCTCGGCGCGCATCTGCTCGAAAGTAGCGAGCGATTTCTTTCCTTCTCCGTTTACGGCGTAACCCACAATCATCGACGTCCATGAAACGATGTCTCTCTGGGGCATTCCGTCGAAAACAGCTCTAGCTCTTTCTAAGCTCCCGCATTTCGCATACATGTCGATAAGAGCATTCCCCAAAACTACACTTTTTTTAAAAATCGCATCTTTCTCCACAATAGAATGCGCGATAATACCCCGATGCAGTTGCCCCGTATCGCGACAGGCCATAACCAATCCCAAAAGAGTGACCTCATCGAATTCCAAACCTCGGACTTTCATCTGATCAAGAAGCTCCAATGCTTTCTGCGCAAATCCATGTTCGATATAGACATGTATCATAGCATTCCAATGTTCAATATCTTCCTTCGGTAGTTCGTCAAAAAGCTTCCTCGCAGACTCCACCTCCCTGCATTTCGCATACATATCAATCAATGAAGTTCCGACAGAAACATCAGACTCCATCCCGATAGCTTTTACATAACCGTGGATCATCCTCCCGACAGAAATTTCTTCACAGACGGACACCACACAACTGATCGATACTCTGTCAATCCGAATGCCCTCACCCCTCATTTTTGTAAAAAATGAGAATGTGCAAGAAACATCATTGCTATTCGCATATCCCCAAAGCATTGAATTCCACGAAATCAAATCTTTCTCCGGCATATCTTCCAACACCCTTTCAGCATCATCAATGCGTCGAAGTTTCGCATACAAATCAATAAGGGCATTGCTTACTTCACTATTACAATCCAATCCAGTTTTAAAACAAAAACAATGTAGAGAAATTCCAGTTCTTCCTTCCCTAAATTCAACACAAGCTGATATCAAAACCACAAAAGTAACATAATTAGGCTTCATAATCAAACCAAAAGAACCGTTCAACATTCCCCTAAAAAACTTTAAACTCGCATCAAAATTCCCGCTCCGAAGATGCCCGGATATGATAGTGTTAAAACTCACAACAGTTCTCTCAGGCATTTTATCGAACACCATGACTGCATAACTCAACAAATCCGCAGAGCTCATGTAAAAGCTAACGAGACTGTTTAGAACATTCACATTCCAATCGAGTCCAAACCTAATCACATGACAGTGCACCGATTTACCTTCCCGGATGGCCCGAGCCTTATTACAAGCTTTAATCGAAGAAGCACAAATGAAAGGATCAGTTCCGCCATTAACAGCAGCTCGTATTTCTCTGAACAGAGACAGCGCCTTTAGAGGAGCGTTGGCTGAAGCGTGTCGGATCATGAGATTCCATTTGGCGGGGTCTCGAACTTGGCGGAAAACAGCGGCGGCCTCCTGGGGGAGAGTCGCCGGATTTGAGAGGTAGAGGTTGAGGAGCGAGAGGGCTGCTGAAGGGGCGGCGAATTGGAGGCCCGATGTGATGAGTAGTGAGTGGAGCTGCAACAATTGAAGGCGGGAGAGGAATTTTGATGGAGTTTCATGGAGAAGAAGATCGTTAGCAACTCGAAACGGAAGCGGGGAATTCATTAAGTTCCGTGGTTTGTTTCTGATAGAGAGACTGAAGAACAAGAGTTTGAAGATCAACAAAACGACACCGTATTGAAATCTAGTCAAAATCTCTACTTTTGTTTTGACTACATGTATATTTGTATTTTGAATAATATTTATAAATTTTTTACAAGTTTTGAATTATTTTTAAAAGAGTAAAAATATAAATATTTGATTTCATATCTTATAAAAATATTTTATTTAATAAAAATAAAATATAAAAAATTACAACGGTGATTAGTAACAAAAATTCCATATAGCCTTATAATTAAATATTTTAATTTCTTTTTTATATGTTAATATATTTTAATTTTTTTTAACCGTATAATGTTGCAATTATTTATAAAAAATGTTTTGTTTACTTTATACATTTTTACTCATTTAGCAATATTTATTTTTTTTTTAAAAAATAACATTAAATACATTTTTTTTTTCAATAAAATATGACATAAAATACTAATTTTTTATAATTTTTTTTTCAATTTTCCAAAATACCAAGAACCTCGATCTAAACAAACAAATTTGTTTCCAAAATAAGTAGCATATTTTGTATTTAGATATTTATATTTACAAGAATTTAATATAAATGGGACAATCAATTGTTCCCTACTTTGTGGCCCATGGGCTCACATTGTAAGAATATTGCACTACATCTACATACAATACAATAGCATGTATTGAATAGACTCTACATCCAAGTGTTTTATCACTTCTTTTATTACTTTATCCGTCGACATAATCTGTCCATTCTTTTATTTTTATTGAATAAACTCTACATAATAATATAATTTTGACGGACAAAGAAAATATTGATATTTTTAATTTTAATACTATTATTTATCAATAATAATACTCCTTCCGTCCGTCTTAAGGATCACATTTATCTGTTGTTGAGTAAGGAAAACTAATGCATAGGATTTTCGAGAATGGATTTGCAAATAGGACCAGGGATTGGTTTATGATACGATGGGCCCGTCACTTGTGTTAAGGTTTTTGAAAATAGGCTTGTGTGTAGGCCCAAAGATTAAAGTGTTACCAAGAAATGGGCTTTTTCAAGAGGACTCCCGATCAGGCGGTCGGTTGATACGGAGGTCGGACAAAAGGAAGTCGGACGAAGGAAAAGGAGATGATGGATGTTTAAGACGGTTGATACGGAGGTCGGACAAGGAGAATTCGGGCGAAGGAAAAGGAGACGATGGATGTTTAGGACGGTTGATACGGAGGTCGGACAAGGAAAAGTCGGGCGAAGAAAAAATGAGCTGGCTAGGATTACAAGTCGGTTGATTAAGTGGTGCAGTTGAATCGCAGTTTTAGAGCGGTTAGAAGAAGTTACAACCAACGAGCGGTTGTGTGAGCACGATCTGATAACGACATTAGGGCGGTTGACATAGGTTTATAAGTAGGTCTTTTACGACCTGGACATCTTCAATTGACATCAAATTTAGTGAAATTTCTTTTGGAGATCATCCTTTTACTTTTCTAGTATTTAGTGTTCTTTTCAATTTTCTTATATATCGTACGGTGTCTAGAGATTCTCAATTTCAGACATCTTTTTAATCAAATTCGAAAATAATTCTTTTTCGAATTTTACTTTTTATTGTTGGAAATCTGCAACAACAATTGTATTTAACATTAAAAATATATTTATATTTGTAAAAAAAAAAATATACAAATGTTCTTCTATTAGTATTATAAGACCCTAATAGAAGTATTTTTGTAATTTCTTCTTAATTTATACTACGTTTTGATATAATAATTAATATTAAAAAATTAACACGTAAAAAATAAATAAGACCCTTAGAACCGGACGAAAGTAGTACTTTTTTCCTTCAAAATATTTTATAAGATATCCAATTTTTAGACACTTGATAATTAAACAAGAGTTTTTTATAATTGAAATTAGCCTAGTAAGAAATTGAAGTTTGGTTTGCGAATGACCGAATAGAGATATGGATTGAACTTTTATATTTCCCTCGAATCGTTAAACAATTTATGTGCTCATATTTGATTCGATTTGACTCGTTTAACTTAAAGAATGAATACTTAATGAACTTGAACGAGTTTATTCGAGTTAAGTTTGCAAAATGATTTATGTATTTTATAAATCTACAAGGTTGTATTTTTTCATGGATTTTACTAGACAATAATGATAGTATATTGTGTCTGAACCGACTATTCAATTTTATTTTTATATTATACTATAGCACTATATCAATTTTTATTTATATCAGATTGTATAAGTATTCAAATTCAATTTTTTACTATTTAAAAATAAAAAACCAAAAACAAACCTATTTTCAAAATTATCAAAAGCATAAAAACTTGTAAAATTCCTATTAAAAAGATAATGTAGAAATGTATAGTAGGGCCCACAGTCTTGCTGTTATGTGGGACCAATTGTTTGCTTTACAATTTCCATGGCTATTTATATGACAGCAGCTTCCTATGAATTCCATGTGCAAACTCCTCTTATGGAGTATCTTAATTCCCACAACCAAAACCTTATAATTATTACATATATAAATTAATTCCTTATATATATATATATATTCTTTCTCTGGTGTCGTTTCACTTCCGCCATGGATTCCGACGACTGCGCCACCAGTCTCCGAGTCGCCTCCTTCGCCTGCTACCTCGATACCGCCAAAGACACCACCGTCCAGGACACCCCACCATTCACCATCAAATTCTCCGGCGCCGGCAGCAGCCACCTCCGCGTCGACTCCTTCTCCTACAACCTCGCCGCCGCCGCCGTAGACAACAACTTCGTATTCGAAGTCCCGGGACCCATCCAAGACCCGACCGCCGCCTTCACCTTCTCCCACCACGACATCCCCAAAGACGGCGGCGAGATCAGCGTCTTCGGAGCCCACAAATACTTCAACACCATCCCCGGAAACCACCCCGATCGCGACCACCACCACCGCCGCCGCCGCATGACGGCGGCCAATCCCCTACCCGAAGTCCATCCGGGCAGCCCGAGCCGCCAGTCCGAGGCCAGCAGCTGGAACAGCCGCTCAGCCCTGATTGTCCCCGAAGCCGACGTAATAAAATCACGAAATCAATGTAATACTAATAAGCCGAGAAGAACATTCGGGAGACGAATCTTCACCGGCTTCGGCTGCAAAGGCCCCTGCTTCGCCAAGAAGTCCATCCACGTCAGCGAAGCCGCCGACGGCGCCAAGCCGGCTCAGATTCCCGACGACCCGCGCCAATCAATCGAAGTATTTGGCGGCGCCGCCGCCAAACCTACAAAATCAAAGGGCTTGTCCAAAAACATAGCCGCCAATATGGAGAGACAGTTGTCAATGCTGACGTGGGACGCCATCCCCACCACCACCCCCACCGTCGCCACCGCCGCCGCCGACGACATGGCGAGTGAAGCCAGTTCCGATCTCTTCGAGATCGAAAACATCTCCGGCGCCGCTGCCGCCGGAATTATGAGCCCGGCGTCGCAGTACGCGCCGAGCGAGGCGAGCATTCAGTGGAGCGTGGTGACGGCCAGCGCCGCCGATTACAGCACGGTGGTGTCCGATCACTACAACGGCGAAACTCCGGCGCCGGCGAATCTAATGAATAATAATAAAGAGAAGAATGGAGGAATGGTTGTAAGGAATAGGGGGGCAGAAAGGGGGAGAGGTGGGGGGCTTTTGGGGTGCAAGAATGTGAAATCGGTGGACGAGAAATCGCAAGAAATTAGAACCAAGACAAGTTTGTTGGATTTCGATTTGGATATAAATTTATTTGGGAAATCACATTTGCAGGGCATTAATAGGATGAAAATAGACCATATAGACATAAAGCCACCGTACACTAAACATCCTTAATTAGCTACTTACCACTTTTGGGAATTCGATCGATCATGCATTCTTGGGACCTATATATATATATATATATAGTTTTGTATATATAATCAAATTATATGAGTTTTCGTTCTATAGTTAGAATGTATTTGTTCAGTCTTTATGTTTAGTTTTAGGTGTATATAATGTAATGTACGAAAAATTATGAATATATTATAGAAGATAACATTTTACATGTTTTTATTGATTTTTGTTGTTACATGTCGGACATTATACATTTGGGGGGGGGGAGTAGTAGTATAAGACATTCTATATATATACGTATATACACATTGTAAAAAACCTAATATAATCTTAAATTTTCAAGATGTAAAACACACAAATACAATTTTCTCTTATCAAGCATCAAATTAAAATATATCTAACTTCAAACATTCTTCAAAACATATATAAACAATGCCAATTTTCTAAATATATATGAGTTTGTTCATCTAACAAATTTTTTGTAGCGCAAGCTTGTGGATTTGTTTTTGAACTTCTTCCAAAAGACTTCGTACTAATGAAGTTCACTTGGGACTTATAAGGTGTTGAATTTTCTTCATAACTGCCTATGTGAGACTTGGATTTGCACTCAAATCAGGACCAACAAATGGTCTTCCCTGCGCACCTTATATCGCCTATTACAAAGGGACCCGCTGTCTGACCAAGTACAACTGTCGGGACCAACCCAACGCTGCCAGGAGACTTTCGACATAAAACTCATCCGCAGGTCACGAGGGCGACCCCACCACCGTAGCCAATGCCCAATGTCACCCAGTCCACTTCACCATCTAACTGGGCTCTGATACATTGTTGGGATTGAGTCAATTCAACACTAGTATGATATTGTCCGTTTTGGGTTGAGCCCGCACGAATTTGTTTTTGGATTTTCTCCTAAAGGCTATAGAATTTTCTTCACAATTTCCGTTTGGGATTTGGATTTGCAACCCAACAATAATATATATAGAGAGATGGTTGAGGATGTTGTGGTTATCCTTGTAAGATGCAAGAAAAAGAAGTCCCCTTTTTTCATGCATGTGTGTATGGTGTGTATATAGTTTGTGTCATGCAAAGAGAGAACAAGATCAATAGGAATGTATGTAGAATGGGAATCAAAGAGGATACCCCATGTCTTGTCTCTTTTCTAAGAGATTCTTGTGTAATAGCATCCATCGATAAAAAGGTTTTTTACTACAGAAACTATACCTTGAACTTGGGTGCATATATGACTCAACTACACATGAGCGAAAAGATCAAAACTCGCTGCTCCCAGAAAAAAAAAAAAAAAAAAAAAAAACTCACTTATCATTCTAGGAAAGTTTTTCATATTATGATTATCGGGATTTAATTCTGCTTTGTTATGTGCAATTTGATCATTGAACTATGCTCTGAGCTTGACAAAGAAGGATTTGATGCTCTTTATATTTGGGGCAATTATTATTATTCTTTTTCAAATTTACTCCTTTAGCAAAGTCAATTTTTAACCTTTAACTATTACATTTAATTTAATATTTATTTACTATAATATTCAATATTTTTATTATATTTTTTTCTTAATCATTATTATCTACTAACTAAATTTTCTAAAATATCTTTAACTATATATTTTTTATTTTTTATTTTTGTGCCAAATTTAAATAGCTTATTCTTACCGGACGAAGGAAATATTATTTATTACTCCCTCCGTCCCACATACCATGTCCACGTTGCCGTTTCTGTTCGTCCCACATACCATGTCACTTTCCTTTTTTGGAAAATGATTACACACTTTAATCTTATTTTAAACTTTTTAATTTTTTTTTAAAATTTTAGTTAAACTAATTAGTTATCTTAATCTTAATTTATAATTATTTATATTATAGGATAATTATTTTCACTAATACATTCTTAATTATCTACTAATTACACTCCTTCTAAAATACCGTGTCTACAGTGTAGCAGACACGGTATGTGGGACGGAGGTAGTATTATTTAAGATATATGTATGTATATATAATGCCTTTTATTGTAAAGACATTGGTTTAGTTAAAAACCAACAAATGTTGTTTATCCCATGTTGCTATGTACATGTGTGTCTCTTAAAGTTGAAGGTCCCCCACAAATTTTAGATATTTAAATTCTTCTTTAGATAATGGTGCAAAGAGGTCCTAATCTACACAACAATGAAGTTTTTTGAAAACTAATATTAATATAATTGATTCATTGATTAATTATATATATATATATATTAATTTAAAAGTAAACATTACAAAAATCTATGTTATTGATAGAGATCTTTCTATGATCTTATAGGAATAATTAATTAAATACATAATTTCAAATGATATATATATGTATATAATCATGTAAAGTCACTTTAATTGTCTATGTAATTAATCATCTATATTTTTGTAAAATTAATTAAATTTTGTTTATACGATAGAATTAGCTATTCTATAAATATTGGCGGGAAATATATAAATCACAAGTTAGCATTACATAATTTATAATATAATACATATACAATAAATAAATTAATAGTATACTACTCTCTCCGTCTCACATATCATGTCTACATTGCCGCTTCTGTCCGTCTCACATTCCATGTCACTTTCTTTTTTTTTTTTAAAATGATTACACACTTTAATTTCATTTTAAACTTTTTAATTTATTATTTTTTTAAATTTTAATTAAACTAATTAGCTATCTTAATCTTAATTTATAATTATTTATATTATAGGATAATTATTTTCACTAATACATTCTTAATTATCTACTAATTACACCACTCCTAAAATACTGTGTTTACAGTGTAGCAGACACGATATGTGGAACGGAGGGAGTATAATAGTTCACTTAGCATATATTGTATATCTTCTATGTATTAATTAGTTCTAATTAGCGCTTTAATTCATTCGATTTATAGATTTCTTTAGTTTCTTTTGATAAATAATTATTACACATCGACTAAGATTGCATATCAATTGGAGGATCCATAACAAAGATAGTAGTAGATATATACGAATGGTTCTAAGTGTCGCAAGTTTAGGTTTGCGGCAATTTCACGAGATCTAAAAAGAAAAGATTTTTATTAATATCGTTATTTATTCAAAAATATATTCGTATTATTTATTCAAATTAAATTGAGGAAATGACACATTCATCACATATATTTTTGCATACTCGAATTTTATCGAACATTTGAGAAAAAAAAATAATAAAAATAAAAATTAGAAACTCCCATTATAATATAGTATAAGAAAAAAATGAAGCGTGTTTCATTTAATTTTTTTTAAAAAATTTTTATTATTCAAGTATTTTAATTTTTTATAAAAATATATTATTTCTTATTATTTGTGTAAAATATTTAATAAAATTGATAAATCAAATCGTTTTCACTATAAATGTATATGAGCCTAACCTAGCAATTTGAGTTGTCTGTGAAAATGAAATTAGAAATTTATTTATTCCTCTAGGTATGTCTTAGAGCAAGACAAATTCATTATACAAGATAATTAATTCATATAAATTTATACTATAATATTTAAAAAATTATTATTATTATTATTATTATTATTATTATTAAGTGACAAGTTACATTCACATGGTAAATTAAAATTAAAATTATTTAAATTTATATATGTAAAAATTGAAATATAAAATTGATTTGATTGTGCTTTTTATCAATATCTAATCCTTAAATACAGTTATTTGTCTTTTCATATATCGACCACATTTCATTTTAAATATTATTTTGTATGTTTATTTTTAAAAAAATATATATTGGCTAAAATACCCTTAAAATGTAACGAAGGGTATTGTAAAATCAAATAGTGTTATATTAGCACTTTTAAATGGAACTGGCAAAAACTGACCCGATATGACAACTCGACATAAAATAATTGAATTTGGGTCAAATATTTCAATTCGATTTTGTATACGGATTGACACGAACCCGACACGATAGTAAACGAGTCGGGTTAGGGTTGAGGCTCTCAACTCGAACCCGACACGACAACCCGATTATATTATATTAATATTGATTAATATATTCATTATATATGTAAAATAATTATAATTTAATAATTTTCTCATAAATTAATTTAAACTAAGTTCAATTTTAAATAATTCAACCTAATTTACGATCAAACCAATAAAAACTAATATAACACGACAACACAACAAAAAATTATTTAATTTGAATCAAGAAATTTGACTTAATTATGTATACGGGTCAACACGAGTCAACCCGACACGAATCGGGTTTATTATCGTGTCGGGTTCAGGTTGACTCGTTTAACTCGTTTAATTATGTATAGGGTTGAGTAATTTAACTCGTTTAAAGTATTTAACCCGACACGAATCGACCCATCGTCAGCTCTACTTTTAAATAGAATATAAGAATATTTTATCATTGTGTGAGACAGTATTTATCGAATTAAAAAGATATATTTTGTAAATAACTAATAATAATAAAAATAAAATAAATATAAAATAGTACTCCCTCCGTCTCTGTGCAACATTTGTGTTTGGCACGGAAATTTAGGTGGGGAGTATTAAGTATGGTAATTTGAGATAATTTGGATATTAAGTGATGTGATTGGAGAGAGAAATGATTATTTATTTTTTTATTTGAGTGATGTGATGGGATAAAGTAAAATATATATTAATATATGTATATAAATGTTATTAATTATTTCTAAATTTGAAAATGTTGCTGTGAATTTGTGACAAATAAAAAAAAATATTGCAGAGGTATTTGAGACGGAGGGAGTAGATATTTGTATTTAAATAAAATACCTAATGTAGCATTAATTAAGAATCGGAATGTCCAAATTTTGGTTGGATATCAGCATCATCACAGTGAATTAGTGGTTACATTTTATCAAAATAGGCAAAATATTAAATGAAATTATAAAATAAAATATATATATATATATAAATGGACCACTTTGATTATTGATTCTTCAATCAATTAATGTAGACATGTTGCTACGTGCTTCTTCATATGTCACAAAATTTTCATTTTATTTTTTTAATTGCAAGTAATTACTAAAATTAATATGAAGAAAATTATGTATAATATATCATCATTTCCCAATAAACTATGTATTAGATCAAATATATTATGTTTAATTTTTAATTTTTGGCTAAACTTTTTTTTTTTTTTTTTCCTAATGATTTTTCGATAAGATCAAAATATAGACAAAATTCTACTCAAT